GAGTGTTGTTCAGCATGGGAGTGAGTAGAAAATGAAGGCTAATCATGTTTTGGGTGTACTATTCCTTTAACGTCAACCCTTGACTTATGTTTTCAACCTTCTGGGTGACTTTGGTGTGTTTTCAGTCAATGTAAATAAATAAATACATAAAAAAATAGCATAGAATCATAAAAATGCTGCTTCCAGAGTCTGGGTCCTGCCACTGAGAAAGCAAACCACTACAGTGTTTGGACCTAGGTTCTTGGTATATGTAAGAGAAACTGAGAACCTCAAAACCTAATGTTTAAAAAATAAACAAAAGTTTTATCAAATTTTTTTTAAAAAGAAAACAAAAAAACAGGAAACCAAAATAAAAAAGTGTGCTGATCTCATTAGAGGGCGTTTGATGGAAGACTTCTAACCATCGTCTGATAAACTCTTGTCTGATAAACTGGTTTGGTTTCAGGCCTTGGAGGAGTACGGGAACCAGGAGGCGTCTGAGCAGAGCAGCAGCGAGGTGGACGCCAAGATGGAGGTGGCCAGGCAGAGTCTTCGGAGGGCAGAGGTAACGGAGCAAAATCTCATTATCTACCTCCAGCATAGAACCGATGAGGTTACACGCTGAAGTCCTCCTCATTCTTTTCATATCCATGAATAAAAACAATCATAGTTAATTAATGAGGAATACTTTTAAAGCTGAAACAAACTATTTCTGCTCTTATTCACCATCAGACTGTGAAAGCAAAGGCCGAGGCCCGGCTGGACCTGCTGCGGCAGGCGGGAGTCGCCGTGGAAACGTGGCTGAAGAGTGCAATGAACCAGGTTATGGAGGAGCTGGAGAACGAACGCTGGAACAACCTCAGCTCCCATGATCCTTCACTCTCTGTAAGATCCCAAGTCGCTACGCTACGTAGCAAACAGTTGAGGTTGATTCAGTTTAACTGGAGTCAAAAATCAAGCATCTTAAGCAAAAGTTAAAAGACGTAATTATTTTAGGGAACGGCTGATCTGGAGCGGGAGGATGAGGAGATGGAGGACAGCAGTGAGGTGTTGGATGACAGCAGCTCCAGTCCTTCAAGCACCCTGAAAAACTATCCGCTGACCTGCAAAGTGCTTTACTCCTACAAGGTAACAGCCAGCAGCCAGGCAGAGCCAGCTAAACGGAAAAGATGAGGTTGCTCTTTAGTTCGGTTGTCTGACAACCGGTGCGTTTTCTGCAGGCGTCTCAGCCTGATGAGCTGACCATAGAGGAGCAGGAGATCCTGGAGGTCATCGATGATGGTGACATGGAGGACTGGGTCAAGGTAAGCTGCTGCTACACATGCATGTATAGACGCATCCAAACATCTGTATACTCATTCCAGGTTTCTGTCGTATTAAAAGGGGAAGCTGATCATTTCAGGGAACAAGACATCACAATAATGTTGAATTGTCACATTTTTAAATGAACGTTTTCTTGCGGCAGCAGCCTAAAGCCCCCATCACACCTTGATGGTTTAGACCAGCGTATGCCTGACGCACGTAAAATCTGGCAAAAAGCTGACATACGGGGTTCCTGGCGGGCAAGCAATGGAGTAGGTTGTGAGGAGCGTGCTCTGCATGATTTAGTTTTAAAAGGCCGTTTTTATTTGACTTATGTACTGAAATTCTGAAGTGTATGTACATCTAAAGCCTGTACGTATCATTTGAGCCTTCTCTCACGAAGATAAATGGCGAATAACCTGCGCAAATACAAGTTTAAACACACGCCTGATATTGCAGCTAGCACCGTTAGCAAAGTTAGCGCTGCGGTACCTAGCACACCTAGCACCACCTCTAGCATGTCTGCCGAGGAGTTGAAGAAGGGACCAGAGGGGAGACCTGAATCAGCCCCGACAGACCTAAAGACTGAGATTCTACCTTCTATAAAGACCGAAATGACCACACTCTCCCAAAATGAGCTTGCAACGGTAATAGCTAAGGAGTTCGAAGGGATTAAAGATGAGCTAATGCTAACAGTTCGATCGGAGATTGCTAGCTGTACTGCAACATTTCGGTAGCCTGACGTAGTCCGACTCAATTCTAGTCAGAATGAGTCTGATACTGCTCCATAGAGCTGTTATTGTGGGGCGTGT